AAGAGAGTTGAATTACCTTTTCAAAGTTTCTTCATTTGTGCCACCATTTTTGCATTGTTCAGAGATAGGCCTGTTTGCAAATTTACCCTTGAAATTGGTTTCTTCAATCAAGTTTTCCCTATTTTAACCAATTTGTCCATGTTCTCTTTGGTTGCTATGTCAACAGAGGAGTCTGTTCCAGTTAATGTGTCATCCTACAATTGATGAACAATATAATTATCTTAGTCAAGATAAAGTCATAAGATCTAAAACTTTCCTCTCTTTTTTCCAATATTATATTTGAAAGAGTTTGACTAATATACACGGCACTAGTATACAAAAACTTTATATTATCAGATCGTTCAAAAGCTAATTACAACTAATTTTTTTATTGCAAGCATGAAATGGTATAACTTGCAAAACATGATAAGCAACATGATACAGAAGATAGTATAACAACCTTTTACGCTATTAAAGTATAATTAAATTCTATTTGAAAATAGGTGGATCTCCAAACAAAGCAGCTTCAACTGTATGTCGACTAAACAACATCAACAACAACAACGACCCAGTGAAATTCCACTAGTAAAGTTTGGAGAGGGTAGAGTGTACGCAGACCTTACCCCTACCCCGAAAGGGTAGAGATGCTGTTTCTGATAGACCCTCGGCTCAAGAAGACGAAAAGACGACGAAAAGAGGCAATATATTAAAATGTATTAAAAGGTTATTCAATCAATTGTTTTTATGTAGCAAACCAAGACAACCCGCAATCAAGGAATAGAAGCTACCATCCCCGGGGAGATTCTATTATCTCTCTACCCAACTTCTCATCTAACAGCAAAGAAATTCAGTGGTGGAGGCAAGATTTTCACTAAAGAGGTTAAAAAAAAATTAAATAATTTAAAGAGACTGTGGCCAATGGGAATTAAACGAGCAACCTCACAAAGGTTTTGAACCCCCTTGATCACTGAGCTATGCTTTTGGATTGCGGTAAGGGGATACAAAATATAATATATAGAGGCATAAAACGAATTTTGCCTGGTATGTATAGTGTACCCCTTCCGTAACCTAAATCTGCCCTTGCCAAGAATAAGATAGTTAAGACACTCAAGTTGTCGAATGATTTAGGATCAAATGGGAAAATCAATCTGAAGAGAGAACCTCAATAAGATAAGTTAATCGGAGTTCCCGAAAGGAGTTCCCACCATTTAATTGACCCTTACAACCTTAGTTGGTCTTAGGCAACAAAGATCAACTTTAAGGACGAAAAGGGCTATCCATCTATTAATACCAATCAGTACTTCTTAGAATTTTTATTTTTAGGCTTATATAATTGTACCTGAATACGAAGGTAATTTTCTTCAGAATGAAGAGCTTGGAAAACAACAGAAATATGAAGATCAACCATATCACCACTGGCTTGAGTAAAAACATCCACAATTGGAGTTGAACCTCCATTAAGAAGCCAACCCAAGATACCCCATTTGGATGCAATTTTAGCATTATATTTCTGTTCCACTTTTGCTGATCCAGTGCCTATAGATATCACCAAAAACCTTCCATAATCAATGGGTTTGATTGGGAAGAAATCTGGGTTTCCAGTCATTATTTGATGGGTCACTTGGCTTGTAGCAACAAGGGCCTGAAATAGCAATTACCAAATCATATACTCCTATATAGATTTCCAACTATACAAACCTCACATGTAAGGGGGGAAAGAAAAAGAGAAAGAAGGATATACATAATGCGTTTGGTATGGCAGAAGTCATTTTTTGAAGAAAACAAAAATGATATGAACTATTTCTTAGAAAGAATTTATGGTGTGTTCGATTGGAGAGTGAATTATTTTTTCAAAAAAATATTTAGGAGTATTAAAGTTGATAGTAATATTAGCAAATCTGAGATGTTTCGATAAAATTTTGAATTATAAAAATTAATAGTA